GCTGCTGCTACTGGTTATTATCTATCCTGTTCCTAGTCACTTTACTCCTACTTATATGTACATATCTACCTCAATTACCTCATACCCCTTCACATCGACTCAGTACTGGTATCCCGTGTATATAGCCAAGTTATCATTACTCATTGTGTATTTATTCCTTGTGTTATTATGCTTCTATATTTTTTCTATATGTTTCTCTCTGCATTGTTGGGAAGGGTCCGTAAGTAAGCATTTCACTGTTAGTCTACACCTGTTGTTTACGAAGCATGTGACAAATAAAATTTGATTTGGATTTGATTTGGGACTCAGCGGCTACTGATGATGATTATGTGAAAGGGCACCAAGGATCAGCCGGCTTGGGGGGGAGTAGTACGGAGCTGGAAAAGGTGTTAAAATAGACAAGCATATGGAGATCCAGGAAGATGACAAAGTGCAATGTTATTTGGTACTTTTCCGGTAGGCACTAGGCACGTGACTTCTATCAGATAATGCAAAAAGATCAAGCTGATGATAATGAAAACCATAGAGAAGCATCATTACCACAATATTTGTAATACAATGTCACAAATTTCACGTTGCACATCAACATCATGCACATATACAGAGTCACATGGATGACAATAAATCACGTTAAACAGGTACACATAGTATTTATTCCCTTTCTCTCTGCAGCAGCATACACACACTTAGGATAAGTGAGTGCCCTAAAAGCTAAGCCCTAAGACTGAGCCAACCAGAGGTTGAAGGCTTTCTCCACATCAGGGAGAAGAGAAGTTAGGTAGATAAATCACATTACTTTTTCCTAAAGAGCCAGGTAATTAGATTTGACATGTGTTAAGCTGGAGTAAAGGTCAGAGCTGTCAGCTTTATGAGATCTATGCTAAACCACTCAACCGCAAAAAGAGAAGAAAAGAGAGAGAACAAATACAACCAATGGTCTTTGTAATGATCAGAGGAATTGGGGTCTCATTTCAACTCCTGAGTGCCACATGTATTAACCAGTGATCAGAAATGACTTATGGTTCATAGTATATTCAAGGCCATCAAGGTTAGGACTACCAGATACAGGGAGTGAATGGGAGTGAATAGGAATACGTTTTAAAGTAAATATTGCCCAACAAAAAAAAAGTGTTGGATTTACTGTTTAGTGTTTACTCTGGTTGAATGCCACTGCCCAAAACAACACTGCTCTAAAGAGCTGTCTGCATAAGTGAAGAACTGACAGAAGAAAAACTGGTTTGACCTTATGATCACAATTTCCCTGCTTTTCAAAAAGTGTATCAATAAACATACAAACTCAGCCATTCACCGATACCACTTTGCGAGGGAAAACCACCTTCATAATTTATTGAACTGTTTGTGACCTCTGTGACACAGAATTATTTCCATGTCAAGACACAAATCAAACCTCAGATATTACACTCAGCAAGACGGAATGAGTAACTAGCTATTGTCAGGGAAGACAATGCATTTTCTCCTCTTCATAGAAAACACAGGGGGGTCAGTTTAATGGTTAATAATACACATTCAGTCAAACCAGTTGGGGCATTAAAAATATATTTGACTAAATAACATTTCAAGTGGATACAGTTTGTAGACAACACATTTATGCATTCTATTGTGGACTTTATTGGGGACCTTGCTTAATGTGCTAATTGCGCGGCCGGCTGGCCTGACCCTGACCTCAGGCCAATTGAAGAGCCTGGTTCTCACGGCCGAGACGCACCACTGGAAGTGGCCTTTGGGCCTGCCACTCCACGGCTCCACAGCGTGCATGAATAGGCCTGACAATGAGGGTCACCACCCCACTGCCCACCATCTTGACAACCCCCCCCCCTGACAATAGCCTTTTCCTGGCCCTGGGTTCCTAACAATTGCCGGGTATGCGTGACAGGAGCTCCACAAGCTCCACTCCAGGGTTCTTTACTCAGCAGGCCAGGGCAATACAGGGCAGGCCAGGGCAATACAGGTATCAGTCCCAAATTGCACCCTATTCCCTATATAGTGCACCACTTTGGACCTGAGCCATATGGGCCCTGGTCAAAAGTAGTCCACTAGATATATAGAGAATAGGGTGCAATTTGAGACACAGCCAGGGCCATGCTGCTGCACCTCTTTGTCAGACAACCAGCACCCTCCTCCACCCTCCTCCACTCTGGCCCGGGAGGCCCAGGAGGCTGGCTCTTTATCGATCTAGTATTGTTCACATGGAGCAGAAGAATGATAATGTTCTAGGAGGTAACACTGACTCCTTTGTCCAGTGTCCAGCCAGTCCAAGGCTGCATCCCAGGGCCCTGGTCAGAAATAGGGAATGGGAATAGGGAATAGGGCGCTGTATAGGGAATAGGGTGCCATTTGGGACACAGACCAAAACATTTTAAGTGAAACTTATGTATCTTTTTATAATGGTATTATAACACTAAAAACATATCTTATTTATGGTAGCCTATGAGGTCATATTGAAATCTCTTACAGTGTCATTTAAATTAAATAATGCGAAGATGATTAAAATTGAATCATTTAAGTTTTGTCTCCAACTGCTTAAAAGATGGGCAAACAGATTTCTCCAATGCGTCTGGAAGAAACTGTAAAATTATGATAAAACGATGCCATTACAATAGCATTGTAATGTTTAATGTCTCAGAAAAACCACATCAACTGGGGCTATTGAAATAATCTCTGCCGATACTCTTGTTGAATATGACAAATGACAGCAGCACACCCACACCACTGCACTTAAGTTAAGAGGCAGCCGTATTTCATTTCAAGTGCGGTTCTGTCAACTGCATTAATACCAATAAAGGCTCATCCATGACCTCGCAAAACAAGTTAGTCCAGGGCTGGAAACGAGAAACGAGGACACGAACACGAACAATAGCACTTGTGAAACAGGACGGGGGTAGCCATTACACAATCACATCATCAAGAGTGTGGAGTTCAATTATCAAAACTGTCATCAATAGACAAAGGGAATAAAACAAGATTTAGCTATTCAAGTAAGCTAAAACTTACTTTGACAGAGCCAATTTCCCTGTGTGTGTGTGTCCTGCAATTCGTATGATACATTGCCACGGGGATCCCCCCAATAATCAGAACAGGTCGATTCGTCTCCCCAATAATGTCTTATAAATAAATAAATAAAAGGGTGCCCCCGACCTCCCGATAGCATAAGAACACGTCATAGGCAATGGCAAAATGTGTAGAATTGGAGGAAATTAGCTTTAACGGTTGACTTTAGGCACAAAAAATGGTCTAACTCCTCAATTTTCTAACAGAAATGGGGTGTGCCTTTTGTGGTTCATCAATATGTCATTCTGGTCATGCATTCCACAACCCACGTAACTAGTTTGTTAGCTAAGCTAGCCACTTGTAGCTAGCAGGAACTCCTCCAGTATGTGTTGATGTCATTTCACAGGATTTGTTTTTGGACTGAAGCTGAGATCGGTAAGAAATGGCACTTCTATAGCCAAATATCTTATTCATAAATGTTTTTAAGCATTAAATGACCTGGTATGATGGTGCATTGATCAGTTATACAGTTTAATGCCGTTATTTTTGCATTTTTGCCCAAAGTCAACCTTTAAAGTAACTGTCTAGTGTTTCCAGATTTCTATGAAATACAATTACCAAAAATGGTCATTAAGTATATTAAAAAGCAGCTTTTCTGTGTTGGAATGGTGTGGGCGTACTCCAAAAGCAGAATGGTGTGGGCGTATACGGTCATAAAAAATATTCATGCGAATAGACCACTGATTGGCCAGACATTATCCTCTATGATGAAATAGCAAGCATTTTTTAAATGGTCTGTTTGAGATACAAGTTTGAAGTGGAGTTTTTTCTCCAATTTATGCTTTGTCCACAAATACCAGTAAAGGATGAGTCAACAACATTATTTGGGTATGAGTTAACAGAATATTAACTTTTAAAAGTGACATTTTCACTGGACAGTTACTTTAAAACTGCAACATTTCTCTCAGCGTCATGTCAAAATGTGTAGAGTAGCTGGAAATTAGCTTTAAAACTGCAAACATTTATCTCTGCCCCATGGCAAAACATGTAGAATTGCAGGAAATTAGCTTTAAAACTGCAAAATGTTCTCTTAGCCTCATGACAAAAATGCATTATAAAACCGCACATTTTTCTCTCTGCCCCATGGAAAAATGTGTTGAAATGCAGGAAGTTCGCTGTTTTCCCCCACAAATCTGTTTTCCCAAAAAACGAATAATGTTTTTTTTTTAATGGTGTGTGTGTGGGGGGGGGGGCTTCCACTTACACTGTGTTTTCCCCTCAAAATACCCCTCAAGAGATGCATAATAAGTCAAACTGTGTAGAATTGCTGGAAATGCGTTCTAAAATGTCAAAAACTCTTTTGGGGGTGGATCCCCCAGACCCCCCCTCCATCTACTGTTCGTCCCCCGCAATATCTACACCACATTTTGCCCTTGGTATGATATGTTACAAATTCCAATTCGTACAATATGCTACACTTTGTAAGTGCTTAAATCTCTTTAATGGCAAATAATAATGGCAAAATCTGATATATTTTTTAATACAGTGGGAAAACATTATCTTCTTATATTAATATAGATATTTTCTCATAACTGTTGAAGCAGCCTTGTATGTTTGTCAGTAATACTAACCATATACAGCTCAAATACAGCTATTCTCTCCTTTCCTTGGGGGTTCTTTGACAATGCATATCTGTATTTCATTCACCAGAGAAGGGTGTGATTGATGCAAGGGAGGCTTCCTAATAACGCTTACGTATGTCACTTAGACTTGACTCTTTCTCCCAACAGCACATCTCCATTATCAGGGGTCTGTACAGGGAGTTTCAGTATGAACCTATAAAAACTGTGGACCAGTTCTCTGAGAGTAAACAACAAAATCTTGGATATTTGAAAAAGCTAAAATGTCCATTTCAGTTCCAACATGCTCCACTAAAGCACAAGAGATAGCTTTTTTTGCAAAGATATATATATATATATCACATTTAGCTATCAGAGCAGCTCCGACCTACCTGCTACGTTGGCCACATCTGCAGTGCTGACATTATGGGCGTTAGGTCGTACTCTGAAGGTCACAGCTGGGCCCACCACTCTATAAAACACACACACACACACACACACACACACACACACACACAGTGAGATGAGACACTCCAAACGCGATCAACGAGAAATCGATTTTTTACATGGCGGTAAAGCATTGCTTTTCTGCCCTCTTGCCTTAGAAAAAACAGACCAGGTCATTAACCCAATGAGTCTTCTAACCCCTTTTAAACATTGTGTGTTTGAGCTACAGACTTCTGTGTGATGAACGGGGGCTGAGCTAGAGCGCTGTTTGTGAGGCAAGGGCGGATCCCGAAGGGGCCCAGGGCCGCGTCTGTTTACAAAAACGTCTGTAGAGGCAAAATGGTTTGAGCTGCTAACTATTAAAAGCTGAGACTCCCACGAACACAAACTATGATGCTCTCAAGGTACACAAGAGTCGTTAGAAGGTAAGGGGTTCTTCTACATAGAAGATCATAGGAAATCCCAGGACATTGTGTCTATAATACTGGTATAAGCTGACATAGTTGTTATCACAAACTCCAAACTCCACACAGTTGTCACTGACTAGTTGGATATTAATTTCCCACTAAGAAAAACATTTCTGTACTTACAGCATTCATCTAAATTCATTTTTTATCAGATTTTTGCTTTGGCAGACCTTATTATTTTATTGACATCTGTCAATAAAACTCATGAATGCAGCTGTTTATGTCAAATCGTTTTGTACTGTACTTGTAGCCCTGATTGTCCTGAAAATAAAATTGTAAAACACTTCAGTGTGAGGCTAAATGTAAGGGCTGGATATGCAGATTAATAAACGTCAGATGAATGAAAAGCCCATTTTTGCTGGGGTCCCAGGACTGATAGGGTTAAATCAGAGCCATACACACACAGAGCTTGAATAGTATTTTACCTCTGGCTAACCCATAGGCTGTTAGAATCCCTGTAGCCACAGGAGCCATTTCCGCAAGATACCTCTTGAATCTCAATGTGCCTCCGAGTGTTTTACAAACAACAAATTACAAGGGGGGTTTTGGTCTAGGATGAGGTATACATACTGAATGAAAATGTACAGATATTATTTTCCCCTCACAATGTATTTCCAAAGAGTAAATCTAGGGTGGACACTGGACAGTTACTTTTCAGGCTGTAAAAACATATATTGAGCTGAAAAGGGCTAAAGGTGATGAAGGAGGGTGAACCATCCAGAATAAAACCAGGTTATGGCAACCTATTGAACATAAAATGCAGTACATTTTATTTTTGGCAACCTATTGAACAGAAAGTGTTTTGCTGTACTGTATGTTGAAGTCAAAGAATGTATCCAGCCAGGAGGTTAAGGTCTCTAGCAATGTGTGGAGGATAACCTCAACTAGCAGCCAGCCTTTCAACCATTCTATGATATTCACCCCCGTAAAGGATTTTCACCCCCGTAAAGGTTTTTCACATCTATTAAGAGTTCGATCAACCTGCCATAGCGATCTATTAGCAGTTGAAAAGGAACATCACTCACTGTGACTTTAAAATACATTGATATGTTTCCTGACCTACGCCAGGAGCGCCATGCACCCATTATTTTAGAGGGGACACAAAGTACGTGAGGATTGAGGGAGGTGGTTGGAGAATTTTGAATTTCTCAAACACCTGAAACAGCTTTTTCCTGAAATCTAGAGCCATAATAATTATGGCTAATTCTATTTAAAAAATATGTACATTTTTCTGCATAGGTTATCTAAGCATACCTCTTTTCCTGTTCAATTGTCATTTTAATGAGGGTGTCATTCTAACTGTTGTAAAAAACACATCTCAATATACTGCACTAACATGCACAGGATATTACATCCAAATTACAACACAGTACATGGGATCATAACACACATCATCAATACAGGCACATATCATGGCATCATAATTAATACACAAATATCATGATATTATCATAAGGTGCCAGATTACATTCAAACCAAGTATTTTTCTGCATATCTAAGCATACCTTTTGAACTGTCTGTATCCTCCTGACTGGTGGTTCTTTTTTTAAATAAAACTAAATATGTTTCTCTGTATCTCTGCTAAAATCTGGGTAAAAGATGGAAATGAATGTGAGTCTTATTCAGTACATATAGTAATTGCTCGCTTTTCTAAAGTCTAGCAACCTTGCCAGCAGGCTTGCCAGCTAAGATAGTTAGACAAGTTACTCTAAATTGACTGATAGCCTGAAATGGCTTAGGAACTAGTTATGAGGTTGGGAGATTGGGAATCTATCTAGCTGGCTAGCTAAAGCCACCTTTATAAAATTGCTAGGTGGCTAGTATTACAGAGAAACAACAAAACATTTTTGCTTTATCAATAGGCTACTTAGATTGATCAAATTCATTTAGAAACATACAGTACCACCTGCATGTCCTGTCCATCACCGGCAGCTAAATTCAAATCAAATGCTGTGTGTATCACTCTACACTCATATCTTTGCTCTCTGGTGCACCTTGGAAGGAACGACTTACTAGGGACAATAGGAGGAGGGGGGTGGGTCCAGTCAGTGAGCACCCTCCGTAAAATACTGCTGAAGTTTAGTCATTAATTTAACATCTGAAAAAGAAAAAAAAAACAGGACAAATCTGAGGGGGCACGTGCCCTTGTGTCCCATATGGGCATGATGCCTCTGACCTACGCCACCGCCACCTAATTAAGATTTTTCAAAATACAATACTACAGCAAAAGTAAAAAATGTACTTGTGATTTTCAAGCTGAAGCGCATGCTTTTCTTGAGCAGAGTATTACTCCCATGTCCTAACGAAACACTCCCTTTAAGTATGTTAGAACAAATATATAATCATTATTTTTGACTGGCTGGTACATCAAGTATCCACCCCAAAATGTTGAACTGTCATTATGCATCAACTGTCATAATCTTTTGTTTTGTGATTCTACAGTGAAAATACATTTGTCTTGTCTATTCAGTATTACATAGACTGCATTACAAGCAACCAGCGAAGGTGCATCTCCCCACCTAGTGGTTATACTTTGAAATGAGCAGCATATGAAGTCAGACATTACGTCACCCACATCAAATTGGAGTCTGACTACAGTCGGTAACGGTTGCACAATAACTATTATTCAGAGTGAACTAATGCTACAGGGTTCTGTAGCAAACCACCCACATTGACACATCAAAACCAACGTTTCTGTTTTCAACCGCCGTGCCTGACATGATCAATTCAAGACATTCTGAGACGATTCAGACTATATCGTCCAATCGATCCCACTAAATAACACAACCATATATGATTGATTCAAGTATGTATAACATTTGGCCACAGCGTCTAACATACTGTGTTACTACATATAACACTAACATTGAATTACCCTGTATCCATATTTTCCTTCAATATGATAAACATGATAGACACTAATTTCAAGGCCCTACAGGACCAAGTCATGCTTGCACAAATGAGTCAACATGAAGGGTGAGAGGAGCCGTGCTGGCTGGGCTGAATTGAGGGCCCAGTATTTGATTATGTGGAGGGCCATTCTCCCAGGCTCCTAGGTGGGGTGGTGGTCTAGGATCAGCAGCGGTTAGCTGCAAGGAGCGGGACAGCCCAAATAAGCGTGGCGGCTTGGACAAATTGTCCAGGCTGCTCCCCCTGCTGGGCCGGCTCAGAGCTCTAACAAAGGGCACCGGCTCTCTCCCACCCAATCCATCACTCTCCCATACCAAGGCCCTTTCAGCTCCAGAAAGGAACAAAGACAAAAGGTACATTAGCCCAGCCCTGTAGGGCCACCCATGGGCTGAAAGGCTGAATACAGAGCAGTGTATGCCGCCCTAGCGCCGTGAGGTGCTTCAGAAACAAGGGCCATTCAGAACCTTATACACAGGGTCACATGATACGGAGTTGGCCAATCGCTACCTGTACCGCCAACAATCAAGCTTAGTAGTCAGAAAGACAGAAAGGGGGCCTACCAGTCCATACAACACTCTCTTTCTTGTGCCTGTCATCAGCACATTACATCACCATTGTATTTATGGCGGTAAATTGTTCTTGCATACATACTGCTACGGTTATTGAGTATAGCAGTGTATGTTCACTTGATGAATGACTGCATTACAATGACCACAATGTCAGACTTGAACATAAGTAATGTAGGAATGAGGCCCATCATAAAGCAGTGTTTACTTGTGGGGTGAAGGGCATGACGGTTGGGGAAATGAACTTGTGACAGGTTATGGCACCATGTCTTCAAAGAATGTGGATAATATTTCCTCTTTAATATTATTTTGAAAGTCTTTAAATAATGTGCTTCAGTGCAATATCTAGCTGTGCATTTGTATGTAAAATGTGTGTAGAGTTGTTTTTGGTTAGACTATGTGAAAGAGATGCCACTGACCACCACGCAGGCCAGCACAGTGTGTCACTATAGACTCTCATTTCGTTGAGGATGGCTTTAAAAGCCTCATTGCATTCTAAGTGTGTGTGTGTGTGTGTGTGCGTGCATGTGTTCAAAGTTAGATACCTGCAGGGAAAAACATAACGATTTTGGAGGAAGAGAGGGAGAGTTCAGTCCCGTTAATAATGATTGCAGCCAGGTAACTGCCAAAATAATGGAAACACTTGAAAAAAATGAATGGATACAAAGTGTAATGAAAGCAGGTGCTTCCACACAGGTGTAGTTCCTGAGTTAATTAAGAAATTAACATCCCATCATGATTAGGGTCATGTATAAAAATGCTGGGCAGGCCATTCATTTGGCCATTATTTTAGCTACCATGGTTATGCCCCATAGCATGACAATTCCCCCATCCACAGGGCTTGAGTGGTCACTGAATGGTTTGATGAGCATGAAAACCATGTAAACCATATGCCATGGCCGTCTCAGTCACTAGATCTCAACCCAATTGAACACTTATGGGATATTCCTGAGACAGCGTTTTCCACCACCATCAACAAAACACCAAATTATGGAATTTCTTGTAGAAGAATGGAGTCGCATCCCTCCAATAGAGTTCCAGACACTTGTAGAATCTATGCCAAAGGAGCATTGAAGCTGTTCTGGCTCATTGTGGCCCAACGCCTTATTAAGACACTTTATGTTGGTGTTTCCTTTATTTTGGCAGTTACCTGTAGATGGCGCCTCAAGTCAACAATGTGTATGTGTCTAAAATCTTCAACCTCCAGCTCAAATGTTTACAGAATAAGAATAAGACAGTGTACTGGATATCTTGTGTCTCAGTAAGGGTGCCTTTCTTCAGCTTTCAACCTGTTTGTCAGTTTAATAATTATTTTTATTTGATTTATTTTTGGCAATAAAAGTGTTTAAGCCCCTCGGTTAACGTTTGTCTTGACATGTGCTCATGACACCTAAAGCATAACTGTATCCATTGAGCTATTTTTATACAGTATATTGTATAAACTCTCTCCACGCAATACCCTGCATTTCAGTCTGCATTAATCAGTGGATGTGTACCTATCTACCTGCTACAAGGTATTACTGTACTACACATTTTAGATTCTGCACCGCACCGTATAAGCTTCCTGAGTAAAATAAAATCTAGTCATGTCTCTTTTAAGCATGCAGTCAAAATGAATAATTACATAAAAAGGTTAAATACCTAAGAGTGGTGTAGTCTGTGTTTGTTGTTTCTGTTCTGTTTTGTTGAGTGTGTGAAAAACCTATACATTTTTGTATAATTAATAACATACGTACGAGAGCTCCAGGAAGTCTGTCATCTGCAGCTTGGCCCGCCGTGCCAGAATCTCCATCAAGTGGAGTCCCTCATCAGTCTGTAGCTGGCTGGAGAGAAAAATACAGAGTTCATCAACAGAGTTGTCACCTTAGCCTGTTAAGTGTGGGTGAGAGCTCCCACACATGACATTCCTGTCACACTCAGAGAGGAGAGGGGACATGAGAGGGGCGAGAGGCACGGAGGTCAGGGGGATGGAGGGTGGGAGGGGGGGGGAGATGTGGGAGGGGGGAAGGGAGTGAAGGCCAAAGACAGGGAGGTGAGAGGGTAAGGGCGAATAAGAGGAGGGAGGGCCAGATAGGGAGATGAGGGAGGACATGGGGTGGGGGTGAGGTGTGAGAACTGGGGGAGTAGGTGTTTCCTCTGGCATGATGAATCACCTGTGTGCTCTGACTGTGTCACCCCATTCCTATATTCCCTCAAATTGCACCCTATTCCCTATATAGTGCACTACTTTTGACCAGAGCCCTGGTCAAAGGTAGTGCACTATAGGCAAAATGGTGCAATTTGAGATACAGTCCCTCTCTTAGACTTCAGGCCAGACAGAGAGGTGCAAATGAAATGGTGCAGAGGTGTAATGGTGCATCCGCTCCACGGAGGCTCAGTTCAGCCCTGGCCACAGCTAATGATGTACCCTACCTCTAAAACACAGTCAGTGTCTCTGATGACCGTGGACTCGGGGGGAGATATACATTTCTCATACATTTCAGTGTAAACCTCAATGTCCTAGTGGGAGTATGGAGTTTAAAAGGAGAAACATTCTAATACAGACATTGAGAAAAGTCATTGATATTCCCTAGCCCTAGCCCCCTATGGAGAGTGGAGGCACTCCAGACCTGATTATAATGGACGTGGGCTCCAGTCCCTAGTGGCCTGATGGGCTGTGGGTTCCGTGCCCTGGAGAGGGACTTGACCTTCAAATCATCATCTACTGAATGATACGCATGTGAGATGTTTATTACACATGCATATGATATACCACACTGGGGTATGGTCTTGATTAATGTAAATACAATTTTTTGTCAATTGCCAATACTACATAAATGAATGATTTATTTACGTTCATGCATGAATATGAGTCCAGTATTGAAACATTTAAAATAATATAGGGAAATAAATTCAGAGTGAGCAAAAGCCTTTTTTTTCTTCTTTTTTTTACGTCATGGTAAATTACTTTCCCAACAGTGAGTTAAAATGTGGAATGAGAAAGGACTCTGACAGGGGCACAGTAGGCCTTTGGGTGTCTAGCATCTAAAACACATTTCTGTTTCCATTTGTAATGGTTTGTTTCAAAGCAACTCCAGCTATGCTTATTCAAAACAGTACAAATAGAACTGTACCAATGGATCCAAATGGTTGCTACTGATCTAACTTCCCAATACAACATGTTGACACCTGTCAATTCACCATAGTTGGCCGTGGCCTAAAAAAGACTCCATTGTACTAAACTAAATGCAATTCCGCACAAACATAGAACCTTGATTGATTAGCTGTGGTTGCCTCATTCATTACTTATGACAGGTATTACTCACTCTGTGTCAGTGATGACATAGCCGTAGTCATCATCAGTTGTTTTCTTTGCAGCCACAGCAGCTTTGACATCTAGCTGCAGCTCCTGGACGTTCACTTCCTTCTTATGGGGCTCCTGGTAGACCCCCTTGGCAGCAGGTGGCTCCACTGCCTGGATCCAGCCCTCCACCGCAACCACCTCCTCCACATCCATTGAGTGGGTTGACTTCTTCTGCACTGCCACCTTGATTATGTGACAATTCAGCGGCACATGTGGACACAATGCATTTCAAATCATTGAGGATAACACTAAAACATTTAACAACATATCCATTGTGGTCCTACTTATGTTTAATGTGGTCGTCACCTCTGCCTGAGTGGTCCTGCTGCGGACATTCTCCAGACCGACACGCCTGCCCTCGCCCAGCCTTGCACCCACACCAGCCTTGCCAGGGGAATTTCCCTGGGGTCTCTGGGCTGGGGACTCACTCTTATCCAGGTACGCCAGAAGCTTTCCAAATAAGCCGGCGGCATCCTGGGGCTGAAATAACACAGAACAATGTCACGGTGATCTAGCTACAGCACAAACAACAACAGTCACGGTGATCTCAGGAAGCACAGAAAGAACAAATATGAATCAAATCATAATTACATTATGGCTTTTTCTCATCTTGATTATGAGACATGTTTTTTTACAATCCATGTGTACTGAATTAAGGAACTGTTTTGATAGGGAAGAGGAGGCAATTTGCTTCTCTCATCAAAGTTTAGGAACGCAGGAAGCGATAGGATACAACCAATAATAACCGTCTGAAAGATAGGTATGCAAACTGACAGCATCAACTTTCTCTGTTAAAAGATAAGTCAATACACTTTCAATTCGTTTTTCAAAACGTACTTCTTCTCTAAATTGTGTATACTAATTGGTTTACTATCTACAGTACATTGCAGATTTATCATCAAAGTCCTTTTGAAAATCAGCTCTTCTGGATGATTCATACACGGTATAATATCACCGTTTATAATGTCAGTTTTCCGTTTGACATTTCCACTTTCTTCAAACCATTTATCTCTTTAAGAATCAAAATGGGGTACCTTGTCATTGGAGTCTGCTGGCTCTCTGTCTCCCTCCATTTGTCGCTCTGTCAGGAAATAACAGAGACTGAGGGTTTACTGACAACAAGAATAATATTAAGCAGAAAGCAAACCGACTGTGCATATCTTAAATAACAGCCATGCAGATACAGTTGAAGTCGGAAGTTTACATACACTTAGGTTGGAGTCATTAAAACTCGTTTTTCAACCACTCCACAAATGTCTTGTTAACAAACTATAGTTTTGGCAAGTCGGTTAGGACATCTACTTTGTGCATGACACAAGTCATTTTTCCAACAATTGTTTACAGACAGATTATTTCACTTAGAATTCACTGTATCACAATTCCAGTGGGTCAGAAGTTTACATACACTAAGTTGACTGTGCCTTTAAACAGCTTGTAAAATTCCAGAAAATGATGTCATGGCTTTAGAAGCTTCTGATAGGCTAATTGACATCATTTGAGTCAATTGGAGCTGTACCTGTGGATGTATTTCAAGGCCTAACTTCAAACGCAGTGCCTCTTTGCTTGACATCATGGGAAAATCAAAAGAAATCAGCCAAGAAACAAACAATAGTACGCAAGTATAAACACCATGGGACCACGCAGCAGTCATACCGCTCAGGAAGGAGACGCGTTCTGTCTCCTAGAGATGAACGTAATTTGGTGCGAAAAGTGCAAATCAATCCCAGAACAACAGCAAAGGACCTTGTGAAGATGCTGGAGGAAACAGGTACAAAAGTATCTATATCCACAGTAAAACTAGTCCTATATCGACATAACCTGAAAGGCCGCTCAGCCAGGAAGAAGCAACTGCACCAAAACCGCCATAAAAATGCCAGACTACAGTTTGCAACTGCACATGGGGACAAAGATCGTACTTTATAGAGAAATGTCCTCTGGTCTGATCAAACAAAAATAGAACTGTTTGGCCATGATGACCATCGTTATGTTTGGAGGAAAAAGGGGAAGGCTTGCAAGCCGAAGAACACCATCCCAACCGTGAAGCACGGGGGTGGCAGCATCATGCTGTGGGGGTGCTTTGCTGCAGGAGGGACTGGTGCACTTCACAAAATAGATGGCATCATGAGGAAGGAAAATTATGTGGATATATTGAAGCAACATCTCAAGACATCAGTCAGGAAGTTAAAACTTGGTCGCAAATGGGTCTTCCAAATGGACAATGACCCCAAGCATACTTCCAAAATTGTGGCAAAATGGCTTAAAGACAACAAAGTCAAGGTATTGGAGTGGCCATCACAAAGCCCTGACCACAATCCTATAGAAAATGTGTGGCAGAACTGAAAAAGCGTGTGCGAGCAAGGAGGCCTACAAACCTGACTCAGTTACACCAGCTCTGTCAGGAGGAATGGGCCAAAATTCACCCAACTTATTGTGGGAAGCTTGTGGAAGGCTACCCGAAACGTTTGACCCAAGTTACACAATTTAAAGGCAATGCTACCAAATACTAATTGTGTATGCAAACTTCTGACCCACTGGGAATGTGATGAAATAAATAAAAGCTGAAATAAATCATTCTCTCTACTATTATTCTGACATTTCACATTCTTAAAATAAAGTGGTGATCCTAACTAACTTAAGACAGGGAATTTTTACATTTACATTTACATTTACGTCATTTAGCAGACGCTCTTATCCAGAGCGACTTACAAATTGGTGCATTCACCTTATGATAGCCAGTGGGACAACCACTTTACAATTTATTTTTATTTATTATTATTATTATTATTATTATTATTATTATTATTATTATTATTATTATTATTTTATATATTTTGTGGGGGTGGTGTGGGGGTGGGTAGAAGGATTACTTTTATACTATCCCAGGTATTCCTTAAAGAGGTAGGGTTTCAAGTGTCTCCGGAAGGTGGTCAGTGACTCCGCTGTCCTGGCGTCGTGAGGGAGCTTGTTCCACCATTGGGGTGCCAGAGTAGCGAACAGTTTTGACTGGGCTAAGTGGGAACTGTGCTTCCGCAGATGTATGGGGACCAGCAGGCCAGAGGTGGAAGAACGCAATGTCCTCGTTTGGGTGTAGGGACTGATCAGAGCCTGAAGGTAAGGAGGTGCCGTTCCTCTCACAGCTCCATAGGCAAGCACCATGGTCTTGTAGCAGATGCGAGCTTCAACTGGAAGCCAGTGGAGTGTGCAGAGGAGTGGGGTGACGTGAGAGAACTTGGGAAGGTTGAACACCAGACGGGCTGCAGCGTTCTGGATGAGTTGTAGGGGTTTAATGGCACAGGCAGGGAGCCCAGCCAACAGCGAGTTGCAGTAATCCAGACGGGAGTTGACAAGAGCCTTTACTAGGATTAAATGTCAGGAACTGTGAAAAACTGAGTTTAAATGTATTTGCCGAAGGTGTATGTAAACTTCCGACTTCAACTGTACATTAAACAAGGATTGCATGGCACACACATAAACAAATTTGGTTTTTCACCACTCCCTGTCTTTGACAGTAGGTGGACCTACAACATTTTCTCCAATCATCAATACTGTCAGATTGCTACAGAGAGAGATATTCAACTCTGCCTGTATTTGGCTAAGCTGTATGTAAACTTCTGACTTCAACTGTATACTCTTCCCTTCACCGTTTTGGAAAGTGAAGTGCAACGTATGGTTTGAGAATATTTTCAGCTGATTATTTTTGCCAAAGTCTGACCGCATTTCAAATCAACAGAGCAGTCAATATGAACTAGTCACCCTGAAGTTGGCATGGAAAGACAATGAATATATAAAGGTGTTGGTAAAATCTCTGGGCTAATACTACAGATGGAGGGCTTCTCCCAGTAACCAGGTATGTCAGGTTTGTGTACCTTGGACCACAGACTCCTCTAGTGGAGTGCTCTCCGGATCCGTTTTCTCTGTGGCAGATGGCAGGACAATATCCTCCTTCTCCTCCTCCTGTTCCCAAGGCCCCTGTTCTCCAGGCCCCTCATTCCCTTCCTCATCTTCCTCCTCCTGCTCCTCTTCCTCACCCAGGTCTCTGGGTCCTGGTCTGGCCTGGGTCTGTTTTTGATCCACTACCTGCATTTACATTTACATTTTGGTCATTTATCAGACGCTCTTATCCAGAGCAACTACAGACAGTGCATTAAACTACGGTAACCAAATATCACATTCCTTCTTCCTAAAAAACGCAGCTATAAGCAAAATCAGTGCCAGTATGAAAGGTATGAGTGTTAGTGCAAGAAAGACAAGTACACAAACGTTGTTGTTTATTCTACCTGTAGGGCGTCAGCGATCAGCTGGTCCAGATCTTTAGGACTCATGTCGTCCACGTCCACATTGTGTCTGCCCACGTTCTGGATGAACACATCTGTGGAGGAGGGAAGAGAGGAGGGGATGAGAGGAGAGGAGAGAAGAGGAGGAGAGGAGGAGAGGAGGAGAGGAAGAGAGGAGGAGAGAAGAGGAGGAGAGGAGGAGAGGAGGAGGAGAGGAGGAGAGAAGAGGAGGAGAGGAGGAGAGAAGAGGAGGAGAGGAGGAGAGGAGGAGAGGAGTGGGGATGAGAGGGAGAAGAGTTAATACTATGGTAGATGTCAATGTCTTAATTAACAACTAATAACATGCTATGCTGTTATTTTCAGCGGATCCATAACTATTGATAGTGATAATTTGTTCACAGTGGAATAATGAGGAAGAACTTGTACAGTAAAAAGAGGAAGACATCGTTTTTAAAGCAGCACATACCACCCACTGGACTGAGAGGGTCTTTTGGACTAGAGGGTTGACTGGCTCCAGCTGTCTGGAAGAGCAAAAGTCTGTCCAGGTTGGGTGTTTGGGATTGAGAGTTCTCTTTAGGCCCAGCACTGTCTATACTGTTGCTGTAGGAGGGGCGTAGGAGAGGGGAGGGCAGGGCCGGGACCTTGGTTGCCCCCCCGGTCTGGGGTGGTCCCTGACCATACAGGTAGTGCCTGAGGGCAGCCACGAGGAGGTCTCCATCCCCTGCAGAGGGTCTGTCCTGGTAGGGAGGCTGGAAGAAAGACAGTGGGGAGAAGTTTCCCTCTCCCTGGGACTTGGGCCGGTAGTAGTCAGAGAAGACGCCAGATTGGTAACGGTCACTCTACAAGATAATAAAACACATTATTTGTGTATTATAAGGCATTATACACATTTACTTCATAGAAAGTGTTACCAAATAGATCACAAGTGTTCGTCTTCACTTAAATCCCCAGCTAAAACACCAGCATCAAATGAAATGTTAATTGATTATGTTAACAGTAAGATGAGAGTATATAATATTATCCTAAGAAGTACACTATAAGGACGGGTCAACAACATTCCAAGATCCATCCATCTCCCACATGCTCATCTCAAACGAAAGGCAACCCCCCCCCCCTCCCCAATGTTTTCCACCAACCCCATCCTTGATAAATAGAGGGGTACTCTCCCCATCCTTAATAAATAAAGGGCTACTTTCCCCATCCTTGATAAATAAAGGGGTACCCTCCCCAACCCCTCAATGCCTGGCCCTCAGCAGGGGTTTGGCCCTCTCATTCAGCTAGGCCATGTTGGTAACCCCCTGAACAGAAATTACATAGAGCCCATCATGTGGGTGTTATTAATTAAGGAACTGAACTCCTGAACTCTCGGTGGGCATTATCTCCCTCATAATAATCCAGCATGAAACTATCCCTGTGAATGGTCAACCAACAGCCATTCACCAACCCTTCAGAAGGGGATAGATAATGATACAGAATACTAAAGATGATCCCCAGCTCCCGCTGCGTCAGTTTGTGTGTGTGTGTGTGTGTGTGTGTGTACACATGAGTGTGTGTTTATAGAGATGTGCATCCATTGAGAAGTAAAAAAGGATCCAGCTGCTCATCCCAGGCTAAAGTAGGGGCCTGGGGGTTCTGGAGGGGTCTTAAGGGCAGGGTTCTGAAGGTGGCCAGGGGGGCCCTTACCTTGCTGGGTCTCTTGGGGCCAGTGGGGGACAAGGCCTGGGAAAGGAGGCCCAGACGCTGCAGGATGTTCTGAAGGTTTCTACTGAGCTCCACCTCCACAGGCTTGATCCTTTGGTCTCCTGGGTCCATAGCCTGGGTAGAGGGCCTGGACCAGACAAGGAGAGTGAGAGGTGTGGGTGAGTGTGAGAGAGACAGAGAGAAATAGATAGAGAAAGGGAGAGCGAGAGACAGATATAAACACATGAAGACACAGAGAGACAGACAGAGAGACAGACAGAGAGACAGACAGAGAGACAGACAGACAAAGGAACAAACAGACAGATAACATGGACTATCCAGAGCTAGAAACTAGATCCGTTCAGACATAAACCAGCTCATCAGTCATCATATTCTAACATGTGCACTCCTAGAGTCTGCCTGCCTGCCTGCCTGCCTGCCTGCCTGCCTGCCTGCCTGCCTGCCTGCCTGCCTGCCTGCCTGCCTGTCTGTCTGTCTGTCTGTCTGTCTGTCTGTCTGTCTGTCTGTCTGTCTGTCTGCATGCATGCATACGTGTGTGTCCATGTGTATATGTACAGGTGTAATGGATGGTGCTGCCTGCCAGAACAGTGACCTGGATTTGCTGCTGCTGTAGACAGGGGGGCTGGAGTCCTGTAGGCGTCTGTAGGGGATCTTCCTCAGCTTAGACAGCTCCTTGGACAGGATCTGCTGGGTGGCCTCATCCTCCCAGGTCAACCCTGCAACACAACACATCAACAGGAATAACACTCAGAATGTCAGACTAGAAATAATGGTTACATATATACTATCAATTGCATTATGTGACAAATCACAAAAGGAAACACAGAGAACTGTTTTTATCCCTGGTGGATTAGGTCAAAGGTCACTATGGCTGTGTTTCAAATGGCACCCTATTACCCATAGGGCTCTGGTCAAAAGTAGTGCACTATAAAGGGAATATGGTGCCATTTGGGGGACATCCTAGGTCATTCTCATGCTGTAATATGTTCTCCCAGCATGTTAGTAGGTTTATAAGACGAAAGGCTACATGATGAGCTCCATATGTATTCCCCTCTGCTTCTTAGGACTAACATACAGTACATAACTACAGCACGTTTTGGCAACAAAACTGAGGACTGGTGCCAATACCAGATGGGGTGGCGGAACCAAATGTAACCCAGAATATGGCCACGCACACTTGAACAATTCAACAGAGACATTCCACAGATGAGAGGCAGCATCCATGAAAGATACAAGCATCACTAGACTGCACAGCAAACAGCATCTGCAATGACATCCTTATCTTGGTTATAGAAGGAAGAGCACAGGACACATGTCACTTTGCAAAGTGCAACTTACTGTTAGTGAGCATTTGGCTAGATAGGGTTGGGATGACTTCTATAAATCACATTTCCACGAGAAGGCATGCATTGTTATGGGTTATCAATCTTTAACAAGTTGTATAATCAGTAAAACCATCAATAAAATAATAAACGCGAGGATGGATTTAGAAAATATGTAGATATGGGCACATTGGTCTGATAATACATCTATCTCCTCTTTTTTAGATACATAGGTATGCAAATGTGCTTTCATGGCTACCAGATGAGACCTTCAAGCAATGCAGATCTCCCGGTGGTGGGTGCGTCCCATGATGCTATTGAGCGGAGCACAGAAGGTAGAGGCCAGGGTTCTGGAACCCAGCCAGCCTTCTAGATCCACCACAGCCTGATGAGGGAGGAGCAGCGGAACACAACAGAACACATGGAACACACGGAACCCACCATACTGCTGTTTGCTGCTACAGCCTGGCCTGCCTGCCACACATCATTCAACTGAGCAGGGCCGGGCTCAGTAACACAGGGAGGACTCAGAGCCAGCTTTCACCATCAAACACACATAAAATAGCTGTGCTCAATGATTGCTTTAATGGGGGCATTGATGGCTGTCTGTGTGAGAGGAGAGCTAAGGCAGGGTTTTCACAGGAACAGACGCTATGTGGCACGGCAGCTTGATTAACTGTAACCCCCACCAAGTCATTCACACACAGCTTAGGTTTTCACAACCACGCAGGCGAAACGGTTCCATAGCAATGGAACATAAAGAAGAGGTCTGCTTGGTTGGGCAGCTGGGGTTAACAGAGAGCAGTGAGAAGGAGGGGGTCAGGGTTTGGAAATTAGACTTACAAGCTATGGGGCTGATTTAACAGAAATAGCATTGCAAAATTCCAGTAACTTTCCCCAAATTCCCATGTTTTTCATGAGGGAATAAGCAGGACATCCAGCGGTCTTCCAACCGGGATTTCTGGAAAACCTTAGTGTTAAGTTTAAGGCCCATAGCTCTGTGCTCCATCAGCAGGGGTTGTGTTTGTGTTTTTGTGATGAGGAGAAACAAGAGGCAGGTTGGTAGCTTTGAATCTGTGGAGGCGTTTCTGTTTTCTGTGTTTCACCCGACCAGCACTCAGAGGGTCAGTGCATAGGCAGCGGTGGCTGTTATGTTGAATATTCTGAGGCCATTAGTCCTGCGTCCCAAATGGTGCCGTATTCCCTACATAGTGCACTACTTTTAAACCCATAGGGCTCTGGTCAAAAGTAGTGCACTATGTAGAGAATAGGGTGTCATTTGGGATGCAACCTAAGTTTGTGCTGCTCGGCTCATCATGCTGCTCTGCCGCACTCTGTTCTGGGTTTGAAATGCAGATGCTCAATGGAGTTTTGTTCCCCTAATGGTTTTTCAGACAGCCAGGGTAAATAACTCATTAGCATATTTCATTTCAGCTGGAGAGATTGATAAACCCTCCAAAAATCATCAGCGCTGTGCACTATAGAACATCGCTCGCCCGTCTAGAGCTGCTTTCTAGAAATGTATGTGGATCTCAGGTCCCACTAGGCACAGACATCAGTTCAATGCCTAGTTTTGATTTACATTTTGGTTGAGTTGTCAACTAATGTCAATTCAATGTGAAATCACCCAAAAATGGCACCCTGTCATCATAGCAGCGGGAAGTAAGGGTGCTGGGGGTGCTGCAGCACTTTGGGCAGCACATGCGCCAAATATAGAACAGCTTGTTGCGTTGTTACCATATATTTAACTCCATAGAAGGATTTTGGAACCGCTAACCCTGGCATTTTGACTGTTAAACTCATGGGTACACTAGCAAAGGCTGCCAGTCCTGACTTGAATGGGAACGGCCATGTATGGATTATGTTTCTATGGATAGTTGCGGGTGACAGTTTGCCTTTCACTAGTTTAAAAATACAATCGTGAGAAAAACGTAGGCCTACTGTTTGGAAAGCAAATGTATACTGCTGAAAAGAGAAGACTGATCTGTCTGTAGAAGCTAACACATTTTTTCTCAACAACTTTTGAGCGATTCTGAGCGAACAACACTGTTTTTCAAAGTACCTTATCTTGAGATACTGGCACGAGCGCATCGGCCATCACCGGTGAGTAGCCTATGCTTCATCTTCATCATTGCGTGAATCAGTGTCACTGGAAAGTTGATTTTGTATCTTACTGTAGCCTATACTATATACAGTGCATTCGGAAAGTATTCAGACCCCTTAACTTTTTCCACATTTTGTTACATTACAGCCTTATTCTAAAATTGATTAAATTGTTTTTTTCTCCTTATGAATCTACACACAATACCCTATAATGAAAAAGCAAAAACAGTTTTTTTGCAAATGTACAGTGGGGAAAAAAGTATTTAGTCAGCCACCAATTGTGCAAGTTCTCCCACTTAAAAAGATGAGAGAGGCCTGTAATTTTCATCATATGTACACGTCAACTATGACAAACAAAATGAGGAAAGAAAATCGAGAAAATCACATTGTAGGATTTTTTATGAATTTATTTGCAAATTATGGTGGAAAATAAGTATTTGGTCACCTACGAACAAGCAAGATTTCTGGCTCTCACAGACCTGTAACTTCTTCTTTAAGAGGCTCATCTGTCCTCCACTCGTTACCTGTATTAATGGCACCTGTTTGAACTTGTTATCAGTATAAAAGACACCTGTCCACAACCTCAAACAGTCACACTCCAAACTCCACTATGGCCAAGACCAAAGAGCTGTCAAAGGACACCAGAAACAAAATTGTAGACCTGCACCAGGCTGGGAAGACTGAATCTGCAATAGGTAAGCAGCTTGGTTTGAAGAAATCAACTGTGGGAGCAATTATTAGGAAATGGAAGACATACAAGACCACTGATAATCTCCCTCGATCTGGGGCTCCACGCAAGATCTCACCCCGTAGGGTCAAAATGATCACAAGAACGGTGAGCAAAAATCCCAGAACCACACGGGGGGACCTAGTGAATGACCTGCAGAGAGCTGGGACCAAAGTAACAAAGCCTACCATCAGTAACACACTACGCCGCCAGGGACTCAAATCCTGCAGTGCCAGACGTGTCCCCCTGCTTAAGCCAGTACATGTCCAGGCCTGTCTGAAGTTTGCTAGAGTGCATTTGGATGATCCAGAAGAGGATTGGGAGAATGTCATATGGTCAGATGAAACCAAAATATAACTTTTTGGTAAAAACTCAACTCGTCGTGTTTGGAGGACAAAGAATGCTGAGTTGCATCCAAAGAACACCATACCTACTGTGAAGCATGGGGATGGAAACATCATGCTTTGGGGCTGTTTTTCTGCAAAGGGACCAGGACGACTGATCCGTGTAAAGGAAAGAATGAATGGGGCCATGTATCGTGAGATTTTGAGTGAAAACCTCCTTCCATCAGCAAGGGCATTGAAGATGAAACGTGGCTGGGTCTTTCAGCATGACAATGATCCCAAACACACCGCCCGGGCAACGAAGGAGTGGCTTCGTAAGAAGCATTTCAAGGTCCTGGAGTGGCCTAGCCAGTCTCCAGATCTCAACCCCATAGAAAATCTTTGGAGGGAGTTGAAAGTCTGTGTTGCCCAGCGACAGCCCCAAAACATCACTGCTCTAGAGGAGATCTGCATGGAGGAATGGGCCAAAATACCAGCAACAGTGTGTGAAAACCTTGTGAAGACTTACAGAAAACGTTTGACCTGTGTCATTGCCAACAAAGGGTATATAACAAAGTATTGAGAAACTTTTGTTATTGACCAAATACTTATTTTCCACCATAATTTGCAAATAAATTCATTAAAAATCCTACAATGTGATTTTCTGGAATATTTTTTCTCATTTTGTCTGTCATAGTTGACGTGTACCTATGATGAAAATTACAGGCCTCTCTCATCTTTTTAAGTGGGAGAACTTGCACAATTGGTGGCTGACTAAATACTTTTTTCCCCCACTGTATAAAAAAAAGGAAATATCACATTTACATAAGTATTTAGACCCTTTACTCAGTACTTTGTTGAAGCACCTTTGGCAGCGATTACAGCCTCAAGTCTTCTTGGGTATGACGCTACAAGCTTGGCACACCTGTATTTGGGGAGTTTCTCCCATTCTTCTCTTCAGATCCTCTCAAGCTCTGTCAGGTTGGATGGGGAGCGTCGCTGCACAGCTATTTTCAGGTCTCTCCAGAGATGTTCGATCAGGTTCAAGTCCGGGCTCTGGCTGGGCCACTCAAGGACATTCAGAGACTTGTCCCGAAGCCGCTCCTGCGTTGTCTTGGCAGTGTGCTTAGGGTCATTGTCCTGTTGGAAGGTGAACCTTTGCCCCAGTCTGAGGTCCTGAGCGGTCTGGAGCAGGTTTTCGTCAAGGATATCTCTGTACTTTGCTCCGTTTACGCTTGGCATTCATGCCAAAGAGTTCAATCTTGGTTTCATCAGACCAGAGAATCTTGTTTTATCATGGTCTGAGAGTCCTTTAGGTGCCTTTTGGCAAACTCCAAGCGGGCTGTCATGTGCCTTTTTCTCAGGAGTGGCTTCCCTCTGGCCACTCTCCCATTAAGCCCAGATTGGTAAAGTGCAGTAGAGACTGTTGTCCTTCTGGAAGGTTCTCCCATCTCCAAAGAGGAACTCTGGAGCTCTGTCAGAGTGTCCATCGGGTTCTTGGTCACCTCCCTGACCAAGGCCCTTCTACCCCGATTGCCCAGTTTGGCCGGGCGGCCAGCTCTAGGAAGAGTCTTGGTGGTTCCAAACGTCTTCCATTTAAGAGGTCAATGCTGTAGAAATGTTTTGGTACCCTTCCCCCAGATCTGTGCCTCGACACAATCCTGTCTCGGAGCTCTACGGACAATTCCTTCGACCTCATGGTTTGGTTTTTGCTCTGACATTCACTGTCAACTGTGGGACATTATATATTTTTACATTTTAGTCATTTAGCAGACGCTCTTATCCAGAGCGACTTACAGTTAGTGAGTGCATACATTATTTTTGATAGCTTTAATATTATTATCTTTTTATACTAGCCCCCCGTGGGAATCGAACC